ATCAGCGTGGCCCTCCGAACGTTTCACTCAGTTGAACACCATCTTTAAGAGCCCTAGTGGTCCCCGCTGCTATCACCACGGTTGCGACCAACTGAAAAACAAGCTTCATGGACTGGTCGTGTTGCTGAGAGAAGGAAAATTTTGGGATGACTGCAGCCAAGGCCGAGTTAATGCTGTTCCTTACTTGGTTGGATTTTAACTGTACAAACAGTGGTAGGTGCCAAAGAGAAACCGTGCACTGGCGACGAAACAACAGCAGGATTCGAGGATTTCCCACAGTGTGCAGGTAGCGGAATTATTCCCGAGGCTATTTAAGAGAGTTAAAGCCGTTTGAATTGCAAAGTATGGGCCTATTTCTAGTCCAAAACTTGGAAGGGACAATTTTATGCTTGCGCTAAGGGCTGAAGTCGCGCTATACTTTAGTTTTTTGCTTTTCGTCGACTTACAAGCGTATGTAAGCACTTTTTACATGCTTTAAATCTGCTTAATTTATTATAAAAGAAGAAAAAAACGCCCTTGCAGTGTGGTCTGATTCGATACAAAATATATTTTGTCCCAAAACCAAGCGCCAAAAATGTAAGTAAAACAATAGCGGCCATTAAAACACGAAGTCATTTATTGTAAGTCCTCGGCATACCACTTGGCTTGTGTGTGAGAGCTGACTGTGAAGTGTTTTCAAGGTGCGAGGACAAGTTGTGAGCTATTATCTTGGCTTTTTTCCTTTTGCAATATCAAGATTAATGCGACATTATAATAGCTATATCTACAAAGAATCGCAAAGTATGCAAGGTTTTAAGCTCTGTTTTTTTTTTTTGAAGCAGATCTCTGTACTGATGCGCCGTAGTGACGGTGCACGGCGGATACCGTGACGGTATTGTAATTCACCAAAAGGGCGAAGATTACGACCCCGACTAAACGTAAGTTATGTAAACTTTAAGGTACTGTACCGGTAGATGACTCAGTGAGCCACTCGACGACGCGTTTGTAAACGTCGTAATATTGAAGAGTATATCAATTTATGCTCCACACCGACAACCATCTGGTTGTCTATACGCAATGGTTAACAGCGTCTCTTCAATGTGATGTTCAAAGCGTACAACAGCTTCAGCCTGAAGTTCAGGGCATGTAGACTCTACATTGTAGAGGCTCTAGCATCGGTGACTGCCATTGAGCTTTATTAATAGCACTTGCCCTCAACTGTGAGGAGAACCGGTACTGGCATTGCAATGCTGACAGGTTAGCCTTAGCAGCTGTTATTTTTCAAGGAGCTTCAGTTTTTTTAATTTTTAAGTTTTTTCTTACTCATTCCTTGGGCTCATTCCTTGATGGAGGGTCATTCAGTGCAGTTTTTCAAAGCCCATCGAAAAGTGATTGATCGAATTCACAAGGTAATAAGTTTATGGCTAGGTAGCACAAATAAATGTGTCTCATTCCTGAGTCTATTATGCCTTTTCAAACGAGCTTCTATTCGTGACTAGTGACGTTTGACACCTATTAGGGCCTTTGTATAAGTCATGCATTTGTTATCGTTGAGTCCGCGTTAACTTCAACTTTGAATGATATTTTTTTAAGACCAGTGTTAGAGTCACACAATAAGAGTGTGACTTCGTACTTAAGCGCATATTAGTGACACAGACACGGCACTCCGTCTTGTGTGGCGAATACTAGCGTCACAAAGCCACAAAAGGGCACACTATCAAAATAAATTACCCGATATATTTCAAAAATTTCAGCCCGTGCCGCGTGCTTGCGCATACCGAAATGTGCTGCGAATGTTGTGCTAATGGTCGTGTTGCACGACTGTACGCAAGACTTCGCGCAGTCAGATTTCTGCCGCAGTGAGAGGCGACGCGGGCGCTGCGGACGCGCGAGGAATGACGGATGAAGACGATGGAAACAAGCGTCCGAGATGCAAGTAGCACGGGGAGGGGACGTCCTCGTCACGACGTGATTTGCTTTGCATGGAGGCTGTGCCGCCGTGCTGAAGGTCTCGAACAAGCTATCCAGCGTTGGACATGTGACCAAGTGCCCGAGAGCCATGCAATGTGGGCATCACCCAGTCGTACAGCGCTGTCAAGACCACCGCAGAGTCGACGTAAGAGCATGTTTATGGGCATGGCCGCGCAGTTCGTGCCTTGCCAACAGTACCAACAACGCGGTTCCAGGTCGGACACGGAGATTTGTAGCGGTTGCTGATGGACTCATGAAAGCAGATACATGGTGGAGAAGTGCTTACGCTATCCCATGCAGCACGGCATGCTGCATGGTCATGAAGAGAATCGAAAAACGGGCGCGCGAGCTCGCGAACACGCATGCAAGACGAAAGCATTTATGGTTCTTAAAGGAGACGACGTGCCGGCCTAGTTATGCAGACATATTCATGGCTACTTATAAGATGCAGCTTCACATAAGGTTGATTCAGTATCTACACACTCGCCCAGCATCATTGTTGGCTTCAACACATCCTTTAAATGACCCCATGCTGCTTCAAGGCGATTGTTGGCTGTGTTTCCCAAATGCGGGACGTCAACACGCCCAAAGCCGCTCCACATTTCTCTGCACTGGTGCCAATTCGAGTCAAAGTATTGTAAGAATGCGTGCTCCGGCTCCGGTACTTCTTCATCTTTCAAAATTTGTTTCCCTTCCACGATGTAGTACAAATACTTTCGACCAATTTCATACTCGCCTTCCGTTTGCGCACTTAGCATCATATGAACAGCATCTTCGATCTTTTCACGATCAAGAAGTCCGTACACACGCTTTGTTATCTCGGTCCGTAAATACTTAACAACGTGGAATACACAAAGGATAATTCGCGCAGCCGGAAAAGCAGATTGCAGTAACGAAATTTCTCCGAAGTCCTTATCGACGATGATTACACGGACGTCATCCCACGTCGCGTTAAATGACTTGAAAGATGTGATCGCATCGGAAAGACACTCTGCACTCTCGTTCTCCATAAGGGCATGCTGCACGTATTGGCCCTGTGTGTCACAAGTCACACAAAAACCACAAAGTCACAAAATGCCACATCGCCACACCAAAACCACAAAATGCCACAACGCGACCACGTAAATCACAAAGCACCACAATGCCGCAGTAAATCGCCACAAAAGTCACACATTTGTCAACAAGCCACAATAGTCACAAGTAGTCACCGTGCAAACAAACACAACGAACAACATTAGACGGTCAGACACGTGAAAGATAGATGAAGCGCTCTTACATGGCCAAAAACGTCGTGAATCATGAAACTGAAAAGCTTGTATCTGGCGTCGTTAGTGTTGTGAGTCGCGTCGATCATCAAAACCTCAGGAAAAGCTTCGAAAAAGCGCCGCATTTGATGAGTCTGGAAAGTAATTACTTGAGCCAACTTGTCATCATCCACGTAGATGGTAGCCGTGTTTCCTTTTCGCAAGCATAAGTCTCTAAGGCTGGACTCTAACCTTGCTTCAGCAGTAGTAGATCCTCGGCGTTGTTCCTTAAGCTTCTGCACCATGTTGTGCACGTCACGTAGGGTTACCTGCTTGCCTGCCAGATGAAACAGATTAGTTCAGCAATATTATAGCAATAAAAAACAGCAAATGATAGTACTAGTACCTGAGCGACGCCGCAAAAATGCAAGTATCAACTTCTTTTTTGCTCCAGCAGCTTGTAGCTCGTCGACAAAATCAAGCATCTCTTCATCATCTATACGTCGATTGGCAGGGTGGTTGTTATACTTGTCTGGTCCGAGGCCGTGGTTGTGCGTCGTGTTCTGCTGGGTTATCTTCACTTGAAAACCATGATCTCCTGACCACACCACTGTAACCGAGATCTGAGCCTCGCACCCCGTCGACTTGACAAAGTAGTTGGAGCGCTTGCCAGTAGACCGACTGGACCGACTCCAGCCATGCGTGCAACAAAGTCGCCGGTAGTATTTGTCGAACGAATCAGGAATTCTTGTCGTCTCTGTCAGCTTGCCTCGCTTCGCTAATTCAGCATTCCTAGATGCAGCACCTGTAGAGGTACGCTTACGGAACACTTGGTGGGTCTGCTCTTGGTACTGCTCCAACGCCGAAAAAAATGCACCCCACGTTGTGTAACAGCGCTGCTCTAACGGGGGAGCACACGTAGACGTATTCCGCGATTCCGGGACGTGTATCTCCGGAGAGCGTGCCTCGGCAGGCTCACTCTCGCCGTCCGATCCCGAGCCAGTCGACGCGACGCTCGCCATTTTGTCGAATTTGGTCCTGTTTCGAAATGAACGGCGGGAAATCGTCGGGGGCGGGTGAAAGGGGGGAGAGGGGGTGACACGGAGGAGGGGGGAGCTGGAAGGAAGGGGTGTTTTTCTATTTTCCTGTTTGTCGGAATTTTTGTTTCTCGGGATTTTATTTTAAATTACTGGACTCGGATTTCCTTTTTTTAAACCATTAAAATGGCTCGAAAACTATTAGTAATCGTCAAACGTTGTGTCCCATTCAGACCCAAATCAACCGTTGTTACGCGAATTATATTATAGTTACCCTAAAGTTAGTTTAAAATCCCTCTCCTTACCCCTTATTAGACCGAGCACAGCGATCGCTGTATCTGTGTCAAAGCCCACTATCGTGCGTATTTAGCTGCGACCTCACGCATTTTACGATCAGTAAAGGCATTAGTTGCCCTTTCAGATTTACTCACTCTCATGCGATTTGTCATTACCAAATACGGTCAATTTTATATTTGCATCCGTGGGCATTCTGGTCAGATTAGATACAAGTTAACCAGCTCTGAGCGAGCGCATCTACTTGATTAAATAGCTAAAGCTTAGGCTTTTGAGTATTAATAAAGGGCTTCGCACCGTAGACCTGCAAACTGTGACAGCACTGCACTTCAAAGTAGTAGATTAGCTTGTAGCCCAACTCGAATAAAGAGGTGATGTGTCGGCTCTTGGTTCAGTATTCCGCACAACACTGTGGTAAATGTTTCGAATTGATGTTGCTGACTCATCCACTAACTTTCAACGTGCTCTCTTTCCTTCATGCCGCTGGTGCTTTCCGGACGACCCCATTATTCGAAAATACGAAATCTCCGACGTGGGCAGAAGTCGCACAAAGCTTCAAGCTCTGCTCGTCAAAGTGAACTTTTGCTATCTCGGCCACCTGGAATACCATGTCGCGAACATTTGCCACATCAGCTTTACTTGTGCCGCCATAGATGACACGCATCTCAGTAAGCAAGACCACAACGTCTCCGAGATCCGGAATGATACTAATACCAATCATCAGACGAGCAACGTCCAGTTTGCTTGATTCGGCGGTCAGCCTGCATTCGAAGTAGAACGGGCGACCTACCATCCCATCCAGAACCAACTGCTGTTCGTAATCTTCCACATTGTCGGTCAAGTACCATTCCAAACGACTAAAAGTTTTAGGACTCGACGCCTGCCCCAAGCACATTGAGTCGCGAGCAGTCGAGTACGTCTGTACGAGCTCTCGGAACTCCGATGGTTCGCGCTCAGCGAGTGGAATCTTCAGCAGACGCTTCTCCAGTACATCCATAATTTCACGAGCTTGTGGTTTTCTGTCAACCGAGACGCAGAGTTTGGCTGTACCGATCACAAAATCTGCATAGGCTGAGGTCGTATCGCAGAGATCTAGTACAGGAGCGAGAGCAGTTGCAGCGTGGTCAACTCGACTCAGCTTCTGCATCAAGTGAATGCAGTACACAGCCTCGGAGCACATGACGACTCGGATGTGAAAGCGGGCAGAGTTTAGAGTGCTGGGCTCTGAATAGGAGCCTACAAGGTGTTCCAGATCCTTAATCAGCTCACAAGCGTTGCGGACGTCGTCTGTCTTGTCATCGGAAGAAATGCTAGGATCTCTCAGTCGAGTGACAATCGACGCAGCGAGTTTTCTGAACTTGTCTCCCAGGACTGTCACGCTCTCCGACTCCATGCTCTCGCTAATCTCACAGCCAGCCGATTGCATCAAACGCATCAGCACCCGCTTTGTGTCGATCACGCCGTCACCCGCTACTGCCGCAGCAGCAATCATTGATTCTTCTTTTGGGGGGCATCTCTTGCTGTTTTTGCCCTTCTTTTTGCTGCTCTTTGCCCTCGTGTTGGTGGTTTCACGGGAGCCCACGTGTTCTGCAGCTAGCGTCGATCTGTGTACTGTGCGAGGAGTAATCTGCGGAGGCAAAATGGCATCGCTTCTTCTCGCCTCGCCAGGAATCTTTGCGAAATATTCGGCTGTGAGTGCAGCAATCTCGCGCGCCCACTCCCTATCGGGGGCTACATCACTCACACTTTGTCCTTTGCCGTCTTTGATCCGAAGATCGGCTCCAAATGCCCGTAAGATGTTAAACAGATCCTTGTGGCCGTTCTTGACAGCCAAATGCGCAAGCGTTTCCTTCGTGTGAAAGGTGGGAATATTCAAATCCATCATGTTGTCTGCTCCGAGGATAACGCGAACGATGTCTTCATGGCCCGCTATTGCAGCGTTGTGAACAGCCATTGTGTTGGGGTACATCCAGCGAGGGGTTTTCAAATCCTTTAGCTGAGGCTCCTCCCGGCAGTGCAGCGTTGGCTGAATGATGAGAGCTCCCATTTGAATCATCCAGTCGACCAGATCCGCGTCGTGTGCAGAGCCAGCAGCGGCTTCGTGAAGCAGGCTACAGAGTTCGCGATACTTTGTAGCATCGTGTGGGTCTGGATCACTCGAGATCAATCCCAATAAGTTCGGATCCTTCTTGAGCTCTGCCTTTAAGTAGCTCAGATCGCTTGCACTTAGTGGACCATCGCTTTCTCGCAGCAGCTTCATCAAATCTTCAAACACTTGCTCGTAATCCTCTCTCCTCGTGTCTGGGTCTGGACCTCCATACTCCTGGGTGACAAAGTCTGGCTGAGCTGGATACGTAAAGTATATCTGTTCACAGACTTCAGACGTAGTCGAGAATTTAGCGTTGATCACAGCAGCAATCTCACTGCACAGCTCCTTCCCAAGCAAGGCATCCATAGCCACTGTAGCAGACATTGCACCTGGTATTGCGCTGATATCAATCGACCCGTCTGACTGCAAGGCGTCCAGCAGCGGCATCGCCTTCCTCATCACCGATTCTTCCAAAGCCCGACTTAATCTCTGCTGACGAGACTCCCCAGCTACCGAGTTGTCCATGATGTTACTGAAGCAATCCTGCTGCCCCAGCACTCGGACCAAATCGGGAAACAGATCTGTGAGATCTTCGTTCAGCTTCAGTAAATCACGAGACAGCACGCGCGTCTCAAATAATTCTCTCGAGCAAAGGTTTGCTACGTCTTCCAGCATATCCTTCCATGATCCACCCTTCAAAATGGACTTGTCGTTCAGCCTACTCAGTCGGAATATCTCCGAGACATCACTCAAGTGGAACGCCTTCTTTTTCTTATAAGCTTCACTCGGGGCAGGCAGCTCCTCGCCGCGATACACTGCTTCGATCAGATTAACGCGTAGATTCGAGCTAATCAGATACGTACGATAGTAAGCACCGTGTGTCGCCGCAGCTCGAGAAGGAGCAAAGACTTCTTGACCGTATACATCGTACACATCGTCGAAAAAAGGGATACGCTCCAGATGTCCTTCCTGCACCAGCGCGTTGTACAAATGACCGAATGCGCGGAGCTTCGACGTGGCAAACAGGACTTCGTTCGCGATGTGTAAGTACTGGAACTGATGATTTAGCGCCGTAAGACCCGCGAACAGAGGGTTCGCACGCGCAATGTGGTAAAGCGGCACAAAGTGTTTGATCTCTCCAGTGCAGCGCTCCAGAAGACTATTAGCTTTGTTGTAGGCTAGCAACGCCTTCCTGTTTTCCACTGCCTCTTCGATCCGCTTCTGCAAGTCCTTCGAGTGCTGGAACGTGAGACTGACGGTGCGACCGAGACCTCGACGTCCTTGCAAAGCAGCCACAGATTTCATCCAACAGATGCACGCAAACGCCACTGGGAGTGTCACCTCTCGCGTCTTGAAGAACGTATCCATGATCGCCATGAACGGGCCCAACGGAGCCAAGTCGCGTCCCAGCCGTACAGCCACATTTCTATCAGCGAGAGCGTTATACAGCAGTGGCAACTGTTGCATGAGAAAAACTTTGTCGTTGTTGGTGTCTGGAGTCAAGACATAAAGTGGCGTTCGGTCCTCGCCATACGCATCTCCAAACACTCCGGGCGGGAAGAAGATCGAGTGGGTAGCACCGACCGGGATATACGCTATGAACGCGTCCAACGTCGTACCCACACCCAGCAGGTCAATTAAAAATGTTCCCGGCACGTACTTGATTGTTCCATCGCGATGCTGGTACGAGTCACTGACCTCGCTCATGATACGCTCGTGGAGCTGCAGAATCTTCTGTCTAAAGCTCTTTAGTGAGCTGTTTCTCACGATATTGAACATATCCTTTGCTGACCGGAGCGATGGGTACCGTAGCTGGAGTCTCGCTGTCAGTGCGCTGGCTGTGTCCATCGCCAGCTTCACTACTACCGTCGCCTCCACCAATGACCGCTTCTCCTGTTTCACTTCACTGTATACCTTGTATACACCTTCCAGCAGTTCGTCCAGCTCCATGAACAAGTACACCAACTCCATCCTCAGCTCGTCCGCGAAAGCCTCTTCAAAAAGACGCTCTCTGTCCACCTTGGCACTCTTTGGAGCGTCTTTCTCAGGTACAAAGGATGACTCGTCTGGGAAATAGTCCTCATCCACTTGCAACACTTCATAGTAATTCTCAAGTTTGGAGTTTTCCAATTGCAAGTCATCGAGTTCTGGGAATGTCTCCACTTCCACTCCTCGAAGCGTGCGATGCCAACTCTGCAGCAACCCCAGGAAATACTGGTGGCCCACTTGACCCTCATCATCTTCAGGGAAGAATGAAGCCACATGCTCACGCAGTGTAATGGCGTATTGGCATGCAGCAAGGGCTTTGGGCAGTTGCTGTAGAAGCTTTGGCGTGAGTGTCGACGGATCTGCCGCGATCTCCTTCACCACGTCGTTGAGCGCCTCCAGCTGCACACGTTGGCCAGCATGCCGGCCTCCACCGCGTGCACGCAGCAGCCAGTCGAGGAAGAAGGCTGTGGCGCGCTTGTACCGCGCGTACTTGCCCGCCGGAAACAATGACATCGTTGTCACTTGGCTGATTGACGAATGCCATCCTTTGACCTTTGTTCGTGTGGTACACATAAGGTGCAGTTGGGATTTAAAAACGTTTTTAAAAAGTGAAACAAACGAAAAAATGAAGAAAAAAATGATTAACATTTTTTCACTTTTGCTTCGTAATTTTGCAGCTGGGAAAAGTGAAAAAAAAAAAAGGATTTACATTTTTTTTCACTTTTTTTCGTAATTTTACATGAACGCTTTCGTAACGGTGGGAACGACCAAGTTCGACGCGCTGATCGCAGCGCTGGACACGGATGCATGTCTGTCGTCGCTCGTGGCGCGCGGTTTCACTTCTCTGCGGATGCAGATCGGGCACGGCGAGCACCAGCCACGCGCAACGTTCCCGGGGTTGACGCTAAGCTTCTATCGCCATGACCCGCAGTACAAGCGCGACGTGGCCGAGGCCGACCTGATTATCAGCCACGCGGGCGCTGGCTCCATCATGGACGGTCTGGCGCTCAAGAAGAAGCTGTTGGTTGTAGTCAACACATCATTAATGGACAACCATCAGGCGGAGTTAGCCGAGGCCATGGCCGACCAAAACTACTGTCTCCAGACAACAGTGCAGGGACTGCAGAGCATGCTTGAGGCCGGCGACTGGGACAACCTGCAACCGTATCCTCCATTGGACGAGCAAGCCTTCCCCGACGTGGTAGACGCACTAGTGGGCGTGACCGAAGCATCCAAGGAAAAGTAGATATAAATGCTAACTCAAAACAAGTCTTGCAAACGTCTATTTACGCTTTTTTATAATTATATCTATTCCTGCTTCACGCATCGATGACGTCCACGACGTCCAAAAGTGCACCTACGACGGCCACACCGATGGCTGCAGCAGATAACTCAGCGGGGCTCGGTTCGGGCAGTCGGATGAGATCGGTGTCGTTGCTCGACTCGGGTGCAACGTCTTCAGCTTTGCAATAAAGCGAGGACCTGGCGACGTCGAGCTTGTTTGGCGTGATGTTGTTGCCTGTCTGATCATTTGTTGCAGTGGCTCGATGTGCGAGATACAGAGTGGCAGTGTCTGCTTCTTGTAGTGCTGGGTGGATCACCGCCGCTGTGCTCCACTCGTCTGGTCCTTCAAATTCGAGCTCGACGGTGTCGATTAGTCCAAGCAGCGTGCCGATGACAGCGCTTGTTACAGCAGCAGCAGAAACTACGTGTGAGGGGGTTGCTTGTGCTTCAACTGCATTCACTAACTCTTGTGCAGTCGCTGCAACTTCAGTCTCCAGTTCAGTCTCATCGGGATCTTCGGGTGATGGCTTATCAAGTGTCGACGCTCCATCCTTCGTATCTCCATTCGACGCCTTAGATACCAGGGCCTCATCGACTACAGCGACCTCCATCACCTCGACGGCATCAGCCCTGTCCGTTGTCTCCGGCTCAGTCGTATCGGGCTCTGTCGTATCGGCCGCAACCGTCTCGAGCTCAACCGCCTCGGGCTCAGTAGGCTCAGGCTTCACCGTCTCGACTGTCGGTACGGCTTCAGCAGTGGCCACCGACACAGCTTCGGATACGGCCCGAAGAGCCTCTTCCACCGCGTCCTGCACTTCCGCCACCACGTCGGCCTCCTCAACGCCACCCACCCCAGCTTCGGGTTCTGTCGGCACCTCTGCCGTCTCCGGCACCTCGGTCTCGACCGGCATGTCGATTGCGACTTCATCAACGATGGCGGTGGCCGCTTCTTTCGCCCCTGCGGCCAGCGCAGCACACTCCACAGCAGTCACCAGGGCCTTAGCGACTGCAGCGACCTCCATCACCTCGACGGCATCAGCCCTGTCCGTTGTCCCCGGCTCAGTCGTATCGGGCTCTGTCGTATCGGCCGCAACCGTCTCGAGCTCAACCGCCTCGGGCTCAGTAGGCTCAGGCTCCACCGTCTCGACTGTCGGTACGGCTTCAGCAGTGGCCACCGACGCAGCTTCGGATACGGCCCGAAGAGCCTCTTCCACCGCGTCCTGCACTTCCGCCACCACAGTCGGCCTCCTCAACGCCACCCACCGCAGCTTCCGGCCCTATTGGGCGCCCTCTGCCCCCTCCGGCACCCTCCGTCTCG